CAATCTAAACCCATAGATTCCATCCTTGGCCACCAAGTTGCATCTAGGGTTTATTTACATTTCATTTGGAGTGCATTAGCCATATGAATTTCGGCCATGCACATCTCAAATGAAACCCTAGATGCCTCCCCTCCTATAAATACCCAACACCCCACCACTTGTAAATACTTTGGAATATATGAATTTGAGTGAGCCTTTTTGTGCCTCAAATCCTCTCCTTAGTCACTAGGTTACCTTTGGCTAACCTTCTCCTATCTCCACCATTGGAGAGTGAGAACCCTAGAGTGGCCTCCATTTACCTTTGGAGTGAGCCAACCGTGAGCAACCAAACACCTTTCACCATATGCTTCCGCCACCCTAAATACTATCTCTCGCCTAGCTTCCTTTTTCCACCATAAACCTCCCTTTGTCCTACCTTTGATGAGCCTAAATCAAGGGCAAGGAGTCTCCTTTCAACCATTGTCATCACCCATGGAAGGAACTACTCCATCAGCTTGTTTCTCTCCTTGAAACTAGTTCCATTTCTCTTATCTTCTCTTGAGTTAAGCGAGATTTGGAGGGATTTATCACTCCATGAGTGTGGCGTCTTTACCTTTCCATGTGTGTTTGAAGATGGCTTCTAACACCTTTGGAAGCCATTGAAAAACCTAGGAGGAGACCTAGAAGGAAAAGATCCGTTGAAGGAACTTGGAGGAGGAACTACATCAATCTAGTCTCTCCAAAGGGTTTTCCATCAATAAGTATCATCATATATATTTTAGAGCATTTTTCTCATGCATTTTTTTTTATCAAAGCAAGGATTTGTTAGATGAGGAGGATAACCACAATTTGAGGAGGAGGCGGAGGGATGAGGAAGAAAAATAGAAGAAGGTGCACAACGCGCGGGAGAAGGAAACCATGAAGTTTTTTAAATCTAACTAGTGCGCGCACACCTTCTTTTAAGCAGGTCCTGTGGGTTATTTACGTCGGCCCTAATTGGGTCCGACGTAAATTTTAACATCTACGTCAGACACAATGCATAGCCGACGTAGATGTTAAAATTTACGTCGGACCCTAGGAGGTCCGACGTAAATAATTTAACTAAATTATGAAATGTGTCATCGCGTTTTTATTACGTCGGGTGTTTGTATATCCGACGTAAAATAGGTGACATAGTATCCTAATTTTCCACTAGTGAGTGATACTTTAAATAATGATGCAAATAGTTTGCCACTATGATCTGCAATTGTAGTTGTAAACACTATTAAAATACTATAGAAATTTTATTGATATGATTGTGATATAACTATGAAGACTTTGATATCGTGGATGTAACATATGTATATTATCACAATGTTATATATAAGTGATAGGTTTGAATAATTAAGATAGTGTTTGTCTCCATTTTGTATGTTTCTTGGGTTGCATGGTGCTCCAAAGGGATCCTACTTTCATTTTGGTTTCATTCGTGGGGACCCTTGTTAATTTTGCTTTGAGCACTACAAAAAATATTATATATAGTGACCTACAAATAATATTATTATAGATACAATATATGTAAGTATAAATATATTTGATATATAATTATACACAATTTTAGTGTTGATTTTGAATGAGATTCAACATGTATCACTATAACATATATACCTATACTTTTTAATAATATACCAACATATATAGTATTTATAGTATAGTTATAAGTAATTTTTAGAAACAAATATTGTGTCACAATAGAGTGTGTGTTACTACATGACTTTTTTTATTTTTTATGTAATGCAACTTTTTATTAGTTCATTTTGTTGTGACTTGTTATTGGTTGACTTTGTTGGGACTTGTTGTCTTAGTGCCTTCTTGAGTACAACACTTACTTGAAGTAATGCATCTACCTATATACTAGTAATTAATTCTTTTATAATAAGCAAAGATGAATTGATATAAGTGCTATTCAAACTCATATATTTTTATACATCAAAATTACAATAACAGCCTTGTGTTCAAACATAAGACTAGAGTTCCTACTTATGGATATGAATTACCCATGGGTAGAAGGTTTGACCCCAGACGCTAATTGGTTTATGTTTTTTCTCTTTAATTTCAATTTGGATGTATTTGATTATTACTACATTTGAAGCAATTGAGTGGATTGTGAGAAATATCCAAAGAATGGTCTTTTCCCCTTTTGTTTGAGACATGAGGGATTTTTATAAAAATGGATGAAATTTCAGTAATGAGGACTTTGAAAGGTTGATAAACATGATAGAATTGAATCTAAAACCCCAATTATGCATTGAATGTTTAACAACAAAACGGGGGATCCGAAAGGGTCCTAATAATCCAAAATCACAAATTGAAATTGAAAAAATGTAAAATTGCAAACTCAAGCTAATCATGAGTCTCAATGCTCAACATGGTAAGTGCACAGAGTAAGGGTTGCTCTCAACCATTTTGGCATTTAACACCAAAGATGTGGTGCTTAGGACTAGGGTCACAAAGAGCAAAAGTTGTGATTTGTTGCATTTTTTTTATACTTTGCATTGCATAATTAGCATAGTAGAAGTACTTTCTTGCATCATATAGATTATTGTTGTAAATATCATAAAGACTTAGAAGATCTAGAATATCTCTAAATATCTTTCAATATTTCAAAATGTCTCCTTTAAGATTCAAGAACAAAGATAGTTTATAGACGTCATTCTCTTTTAACCCATTGAGACACCTTCTCAAGAACAAAATCTTGATGACGTAACAAACACCAAAATGAACAATATCTTTGATGTAGTAACTTTAATGATAATAGTAGACTTGAGGTCGAAACATTAGCATTAGAAGAATGACTTATATGTTAAATGTGGGGACCCTAACCATGTTTCGATATGTCAAAATATCTTACATCGCTTAAGAGTCAAGATCAATATAAACACCCTTCTCCTTTAACCTATCAAGACAACCAAATGAGTGCCATAATGAATAATATTTTACATCCAATGATTTTAACGAAACTAGTAAACTTGAAATCATAATAGTTTAACAAGTATATCAAGTTCCAAATTTCGCATCCAACAAAACTACATCAACCCTAATTTCTCTTCTATAAGATACAATAATTTTAAAGAAAAATATATAGGAGAAGAAATTATTATAAGATTCACCATTTTTTTTCTCTCCAATATGGTTATATCTTATTATTAAAACCCACGGGTGATCCGAATTTGTGGTTGAATGGAGTGGATGTTTTGTGTTTGCAATGACAAGAGGAACTTACATAATTTTTCACCAAATGAAGGTATGTCTTGAGGTCATGACACATAGCAACATCTCCTTTGTTGAGATATGACAAATCCTTGCTACTTAGCCTCAACTCTTGTCCAATGTCGACATAGACCAATTGCGTGTCTTCTACATGCTTGTGCAACCATCGTGACCAAAATCCCTCGTGGACATCTTTATTGCTTGCCACATCATCCATATTCACCACAAGCCCCGGAACCTTAGTCACAACATCATCAGAGTTTACAATTCTTAGTATCTTAATCCCACTCTGTTCCAATTGCTTCCTAAAGCTCTCGTTTCCCACGCGAGGCCCTCCAAAAGACACAACGGTCACCATTGGTGCATTCTTGAAAGTGGCGGTTATATCATACGCGCTTAGCATTGCGAGTGCAGCTCCAAGGCTATGACCTGTTAGGGTTAGGCTAAGAGGCTCATTGGTGTATGTTTGGATCACTCTTCCAATCTCTTCTCTTACCATTTCTTGCAAACTTGCATGTTTTGTGGTCTTTGATGTGTAAAGGCTTAAAAACCCTTTTTGCACCATTGGAGCAACACCATCTTTTGCCACCACATGACCTGGCAAGTGTGTTAAGGAGGCACGTAGGTTTTCCAACCACTCCAACCACGTAATTGTTCCTCTAAAAGCAATCACAACATCCCGTCGACCAAGCCGATTAATTTCTTTCTTGTTTTGACAAATTGCCACGTATCCGATCCAACTAGATCGGATGCATGACCATTTATAGATTTTATTTATCCACGATGGCACGTGAATTCCATACGTGACATGTAGAAACTTAGTTAATCGATATCCATAGTTTGTCAATCCGCAATGGTTGAAAAGTGAATTTTTTGAGTGAACACACATGGCGTAGGTAAGAGAAGAAGGGTCAAAATCAAAGGAACTATAGGTAGCATCAACAAAGTGGCCATATCTTAAGATTTCTCGACGTAGGTTATCATCAAGGGGGTCCAACAAGCCTTCCCAGTGGTTGATCCCTTGGTATTGCTTCCACTTGTGGCGAAGTTTTGGGAAGTTGCATTTGGTAGAGTGAGGCTTGAGTTGATTCCATGAGAATAAAGACCCGTTGAATTGTGATCTTGAGTTGGATTGAGACAATGAAAAATTAGGGTTAAGTTGGGAAATAGAGGATGATGCACGAGGTTGGGTTGCAATTCTAATAGCAAGCCTCATTATAGTGACAATTAATATATGGCTATAGAGCAAGTTAGGTGTTTGCATGGCTTTTATATAAGTAAACGGGAAACAGAAGAAAGTGGAGGGTGGTGATGTTAAGTCTACATAGGGCCCAATAATTTATTATATTCTACTAACTTGTCCTTTTAATATTCATTTAGTTATATAATTTAAGTCAAACTTTTTAATCATATTATTTATTATTTTCTCTTATAAAAAATATATTTAAGCCGGTAAAATTTGATGGGATTGTTTGTTATCTTAGATCATTCAATCTTTGTTTTTATTGCTTAGCTAAGCTTGTTTTATCTCAGCTAAACTTTGTGTAGGGTTTACGGGTAGAAATATCCATTGAACTTTTAAAAATAAATTTTGCTTATAAAGAAGGATTTGATGGTAATATATTAAAAGTGTAAAATATTTTTATATCGTCATTTAATTATAATTTACATAAGATATAAATTTATTAAGTTTTATAATATTAATTTTAAAAATTATTTAAATTGTAATTTTGATGGATTGAATTTCGTAAAGTTATAATGATTTTGTATTATCATTAAAGCTTAAAAAGGATAATTATAGTTAATTTCTCTATCAATTGTATAATAGGACTGGAGGAGATCCTAGAAGATTCTATTTACCTTTCACATCATAAAAGTGAGAGGATGTAATTGTTTTTTATTAAGTCCTTATATACGCACAATGCCTTGACTTGACTTTGAATTTACTTGTTACGACCAAAATAAAAATTTAGCAACTAAAAAAAAGTTATAATATTTTTTAAAATTTTTAAATTTTTTTTTTATCTTATAGTCTCTAGTTTAAAATAGGTTTTTTAATTTCTATATTTATCTTTTTTAATCTTTTAGTTCTTATAGTTTAAGATAAATTATTTTAGTGTTTATACTAATAATTTTTAATTCTTTTAGTTTCTGACGTTAGTTTTTTTTTCTCTTTAATGTGATAAATGTATTAATTTAACTTTGTATATTTAATGTCAAAATTATTTTGATGAAATTATTTTAAATTAAGTCTCTTGACGCTTTATACTTCTTTTGTACCCTCACCTAATAGAGACTAAAAGGATTAAAAAAAAACTGTAAGTATAAGAATTAAAAGGTTTTATCTTAAGCTATAGAGGCTAAAAAAGATTGAAAAAAATAAATATAAAGACTAAAAAAATTTATTTTAAATATAAGAAGTAAAAGATAAAATAAGTAAAATTATAGAAATTAAAATAATATTTAAAAAAAACATTTATACCATTGAAACTCTTCGTTTAGTGGGATATATTTTTGGTAAACAATTGAGTTGCTTTCCTACTTTGCTAGGTACCTAGCTTCGTCAACGAAGCAACTATTTTATGTTTTTTTTTTGTTTTGTTTTTCCTAAGAAGGAAGACAAGAACCCCCAAAGTGCTACACTTGGAAATTAACCGCCATGTTGAAAACAATTTGTTAGAAAAGTAGTAATAATATTTTGGGTATGTGAGTGGAGCATCTACACCACTATAGTGGGTTTAAGTGGAAAAAAGGGTCATTCATTTTCTTCTTGTACTCTTAGTAACCCTGGGCATGACCCTTTAGGGAAGAAGCCCTTTTTAATGAAAGTCATCTCGCTACTAACGGAAATGTCACAAATATTGCTTGGGATGATAAGAAAAAGAGGAGAAAGGATTCACATCTCTATAATTTTACAAGGATATATTGGGTGAGGGGTGATGTAGGGAA